GTGTGTGTGTGTGTGAGAGAGTGTGTGTGAGAGATTGTGTGTGTGAGTGAGTGAGAGAGTGTGTGTGAGAGATTGTGTGTGTGAGTGAGTGAGAGAGTGTGTGTGAGAGATTGTGTGTGTGAGTGAGTGAGTGAATGAGAGAGTGTGTGTGTGTGTGAGAGAGTGTGTGTGTGTGAGTGAGTGAGTGAGTGAGAGAGTGTGTGAGTGAGTGAGTGAGTGAATGAGAGAGTGTGTGTGTGTGTGAGAGAGTGTGTGTGTGTGAGTGAGTGAGAGAGTGAGAGAGTGTGTGAGTGAGTGAGTGAGTGAATGAGAGAGTGTGTGTGTGTGTGAGAGAGTGTGTGTGAGTGAGTGAGTGAGTGAGTGAGAGATTGTGTGTGAGTGTGTGTGAGAGAGTGTGTGTGTGTGTGTGTGTGTGCGAGAGAGTGTGTGTGTGAGTGAGTGAGAGAGTGTGTGTGTGTGTGAGAGAGTGTGTGTGAGAGATTGTGTGTGTGAGTGAGTGAGTGAATGAGAGAGTGTGTGTGTGTGTGAGAGAGTGTGTGTGTGTGAGTGAGTGAGAGAGTGTGAGAGTGAGTGAGTGTAAAATCTATTTAGGGACAATCTTGAATATTTGGATGTTCATACTTGGATTTACTTTTTACAAAACCTAAATCCAATGTCCTAATAATAAAACTAATTTCAGTATCCAGAGTTAAAATCTATTTCCACTGTTTTGGAAAGTTGACCAATTTCAATATGACTACAAACTAAAAGATCTAAAAGAAATATATTGTAAAAATGCTATAAAATGAATACAAAAAATTTAGTTGTAAAAATAATTTTAGTTTGCTGTAAAATTAAAATACTATTATTTACGTTTAAAATTGTTCATTTTCAAATGGTGAACCACTGAGCATTAAATCGCGATTTAATTAAACTTGACAATGCTACGAAGCCATATTGCGATATTAATTTAATTTTAATATATCTTGTAGCACTAATTTAAACACACGCATGTTCTTCTAAGCATCTTAGTGTTGGGGAAAGTTACTTTTAAAAGTAATGCATTACAGTATTGCGTTACTCCCTAATTACGTTACTTAGTTACTTTTTATGGAAAGTAATGCGTTACAATGCGTTTTTAAATCTGAACAGGGCTTGCTTGTTTGTTTTTAATATAAAAAAGTTATATTTTTGGCAAACGTAAAAGCCCTTTCACACAAAAAGTGAAATGAATAAGCGTCAGGCTGAAGGAAAAGTAAGTTCACCATCGTTTAACACACTTCAACAATAAAAAAAAGAAGCACAAATGTTTATCTAGAGTCATTTGAGCTTATTAGTACGGTTGAACTGGATCATCGAAGGTCAGCAGCAAAGACACTGATTAATAAAATGGGATTAAATACATAAAGGATATTTTTGTTATTTAACATATTTATTGCAGGTTTGCATCATATTCTGAGTTGCATTTCACAGTTTGTATTAATTTTGAGGAATACTGAATCTGTTTTTTATGAATTAAAGCATGTTCACATTTATTCTACAACTACAGTAACATCTTACTCCCGATTTCTCTCAACATGGGGACAGGAGAGCTGTCAATCAATAAATGGGAAAGTAACTGGAGTTACTTATTTGAAAAAGTAACTTTTTTTTTTTTTTTCTTGTAAATTAAAAAGTAATGCGTTACTTTACTAGTTACTTGAAGAAAGTAATCTGATTACGTTACTTGTAATGCGTTACGCCCAACACTGACTATACTAGATACACTCACACATGTGGATTTTTTTTTCTAAATCTTAATATGAACTAAATGGTATATTTCTGAGATTTAGTGTAGTTTTTTTTTTCTACACTAGAAAAAAAGTGTACTTGTTAATTTTAGTCTCATTTACTGAATATGATAATGATAACTCTGGCCGTGTTTCACAGCTTGCTTCTGCAGAAGAAGCTTCATAAGTTTGAGTTGGCAAGTTTAGCCAATCTGTGTCCGGAGGCTGCAGAGGAGGCCAAAGCCCTCATTCCCAGGTGAGCTTTCCTTAGAAACGCATCTCACACGGAGAAATTACATTCGTTTAATCATCAGTCTGAAACTACACTCATTTAACACTAATTACTATGATGTGAACAGCTTATTCGCTGTATCTTATCTTTTAACTACAGCAGTGTTTTCTTCAGAGAACACATTCAGTGCATTTGGGTTGGTGTTTAATGAGACTGTTGAACTGAAAACGAGCTGTTTGTTTACGTTGTGTTTGTTTTATTCTGTATTAGTGTGGAAGGCCGGTTTGAGGATGAGGAGTTACAGCAAATCCTGGACGACATTCAGACCAAACGCAGCTTCCAGTACTGAACCTCCACCCTTCACTCACTCATGATGATATATCGCCACGATTGTTCCCTTCTCTAGTTGTTTAACGTGCTGTTGTTTTGAAAAAATAAAGTGTTTTTGATCAAATTGACTGTGTCTCAATGTCATGCAGCTGCAGCCAACGCAGTCAGTAACATATTTACATAATAGAAATGCAAATCTAAATCAGAGAAATTAAAATCTAAATCATAGAGAAGAATGATTAAACAAATTATCAATTTTAAAAATCATATTTGAGGACACCGTACACCTTTATGTATTTAACTATCTATCACAAATAGAAGTAAGAATCGTACATATTGTAAAATTTAGGATCATTCTGCTGAATTTGTCCAAACTTTAGTCCCACAATGAAAAAAAATATTAGGATATTAATTCAGATATTGACTGTTTCATGAGAATGTTATGATCTAAACCCAAAGCATTAACTGAAATGTTATTTTTCATTTTTAAATTACAAAAAAAAAGGTATTAAAAATTGTCTTACCTCACTTTCTTGTTGCTACTGAAACCAAAAGTTTTAGTCAATTGAGCCTGATTTTATAAATTGAGCCTGATTTTATAAATTGAGCCTGATTTTATAAATTGAGACTGATTTTATAAATTGAGCCTGATTTTATAAATTGAGCCTGATTTTATAATTTGAGCCTGATTTTATAATTTGAGCCTGATTTTATAATTTGAGCCTGATTTTATAAATTGAGCCTGATTTTATAAATTGAGCCTGATTTTTTTATGGTATTTAAATTGCATGATTTTGAAGTAAATGTACTCTAAAGTCTGAACACATTAGTTTTTGTAAATAAATAAAAAAATGTTTTTATGCATTGCTAAGGGGGGGGGGTCTGAAAACAAACTTAACAGATAAAGTCAATATAATGTTTTATATAATTTGTTTTATGTAGTGTTTTGATATTCTATAGTGTTTATTTAGTCTCTTTCCACAGTCTGTTTATAAATAGGCTATGAATTTAATGTTAAACTAAACGAATGGAGAACATGTTATCTTGATGTTCTGTTATTCTATTATTAGTCAGGTACGATGATTATGTATAGGCTAATAATAATAATCATCATTTTTATCTTTACTTTGCGCTATTGACAATTTTTCGGTGTTTTTGTTAAGATGTAAAACAACGTACCAATCACAGAGGCTACATCGAAAGAAATAAATATAATTAAGCGATTTAGTCACGCTCAAAGCAAAATTATGTTTTTTTTATTTATTGAAGTATAACAAAAATATTACACGTTTACAAAACAAATTGGCATACAACTCAGATCGATTTTAAGAGGGACTTACACAGAATACAAAACACACACACACACAAAAACATTCATTCTTTAAACCATCTATATTAATAAATATAGATTAAACACGGGATAAAAAATAAAACGTATCATAATAAATTATATTTATCAAATAAATCTAACAAGATCCCAGCTTTTTATTTTTTGTTTCTGACAAAGTTTTTGAGTATGGTCTCAAATAATTCCTAAATACTATAAACATGGGGGTGATTAAAAAAAATCTACTAAAGCTAAATAATGTTTAAAAGCGTTCCGAGGCGACGGCCACGTGTTATTGCTGCGCCGCTGCGCATGCGCTCTGTGTCCGGCCCGGTGTGCGTGAATGATGGCGGCGTATGTGCAGATACTGAAGAACGAGTTTCCACAGATCGACTCCGAACTCTTCGATTATATCACTGGTACTGTACATATATGTGGCATTAATATACCTGTATTACACCTTATGCGCGCTGTTAGTGACAGCAGTTCATTCATTCTATAAAAGAGCTCTGCTGATGTGTTGCTCATGCTAACAGACTGTGTTCATATGAATCTGAGGAGTTCCTGATATTCTCCTCTAAATAATTTAATAGACACCGGAGTTAAAAATCCAATCAAGTCATAATTTCAGTATATGTTCATATCTGTGAAATAAAGCAGCTTCAGTGAATTTTGACTGACACGGTTTCATGTTTCCAGCCAGACAGTCAGATATGATTTACTGTCGTCTCATCAGTAATATAATATAATATATGTAACCATGTGTGCCTGACATATTATTTAACGAACAATAAGTCAACACAACAGTTTTAGGCAGATCACGTGATCGATTATATAAACGATGGGTTGTAGAAAGACGAAATAAAAGTAAAGAAATGCAACCAGACGTTAAGCTCTTGCTGTCATGACCTAACATCATAAATGCTGACAATTAATTAGTGACATGTTTACAAAGTGCAGATTGATTAAAAGCTCAACTTAAATGACTGCATGCATGTGAATTACAGAGTATGTCTTCATTTACTTTCTCCAAAATTATGTATATGCAGATACAAGTGTGAATGCACATTGCTATTATTAATTTAAATTAAAACAATAAATATCAAATGCAATGCCACTGTATGTGATTGCTTATTGTAGTACTTTATTTGTTCAAATGGAAGCATGCTCTGTTAGGGTGCTTTATATGAGCTCTGGATAGTCATTTACAGGAATTAAACCGTAAAAGTCATTAAGTTGTGAGCACTTGCAATATGCAACAGTGGCATGCATGAATAAGTCTTTATAGCAACCAGTAATAAATACATATTTGGTGCACCAGTGTGACTTATTGAACTTAAAGTTAAATCCAATATGGTATTCTGGTGACACATGCTCCTTTGTAATTAGTTTTTTTTAATATTTATATTCATGTTTATTAAAAAGTGTTGTATTAGTTAATTGCACTCAATCGATTTTATAGTATTTGTTTATTTAAAAATGCATGTATTTGTATTCAATGGCCAGAGTGGGTACATTTGACCAAATTCAAACCATATTTTTACAGTGTGCAACACTTACAAAAAATACAAATACGTTATTGTTTAAATGTGCATATCTGCATGTTGGTAAAGATATGAAATACCCTAGAAGTGTAATATGTCTGGAGTAAATCCTCGTTGTGTAGTCTAGCTGTGATTCCTGTGGCGGAGGTTTTGTGTGTTGATGATAATAATAATGTGACGTGTGTGTTCTCCTGCAGCCGTGTTAGACAGCGGCGTCTCAGATTTCGAGGATGGAGACGAAGTGTTTGATGCCATCGGCGACGTTCTGCAGGAGGTCGGTGACAAGAATGAAGACGACATCCGAGAAATCTGCTTCCAGATGTTCAACACACTCCAGCTGTAAGTGATCCGACACAAAGCTGCTGCCTGCTTTCCAGCTCCAAACACAGACTAGCAGCTGGATATGTACATTTACGATATTTCGATAATTTCGATATATTGCACAGCCCTACTGGAAAGTGATATGGGCTGAAATGATCACAGAATAAATAACAGAGTGTATCACATGTAATGGTTTTTCTGTCTTGCGAGAGGACATTTTACTGTAAAAACTTAAGTGCACGTTATTACCACAACTGCACTGTGCTGCCATCTAGTGGTCAAAATCATGACTGCCATCTAGTGGTCAAAATTATGTTATGACAGTAATGGCCAGTAGATGGCTGGATTGTTCTAGATTTTATGCTCCGAAGTTATACATTTGAATGTTTGTTTAGGTAACTTTTGTCAACGTTTAGTATTTAAAAAAAAAAATTAAATATATTTTGTAGTAATGCTTCTAGTCCTATACTCCCATTTAGTTCACTGTATCTGTCTGTGTAAGAGCGTTTGTGAATGTGAACATCTGTGCTCCGGATGGCAGATCAGAACATCATATATAACCCAAATCCTGATTCATGACTGCATGTGTTGTTCTCAGGACTAAATGTGACTCTGGTCAGCAGCAGATGCTGCTGGAGGCTCCAGTGCAGTTATCACAAGTGTCTGCTGACGCAGGTGAGACGACGGTTAATGTATTCATTTTATTTTATTATGCTTTCAGTGATGATGCACAGCAGCTAGATGGCATAAATCATACTAGTAATGGATTCAGGTTTTGGCAGAAATACACAACCATTTCTCTAACCATCTGAATGAAACTTCATTGTAAATGCCTGATGATCATCTATGTATGGAAGCCCGTTTCTGCCACTGAATAAAAAAAAAAAAAAAAAGGAAATTGCGACTTTTTATCTCACAATTCTGACTTTTTTCTTCAGAATTGTGAGATATAAATTCGCAATTGCGAGTTAAAAAGTCAGAATTGCATGATAAAAACTCGCAATTGCAAGTAATAGTCAAAATTGTGAGATATAAAGTTGCAATTCTGAGAACAGTCTTTTTTTCCCCTCAAAATTGGACTTTATAGTTCGTAATTGCTAGTTTTTATCTCGCAATTCTGACTTTTTCCCTCAGAACTGAGATATAAATTCGCAATTGCAAGTTATAAAGTCAGAATTGCGAGATATAAACTTGCAATTGCGAGTAAAGTCGAAATTGTAAGATATAAAGTTGCAATTCTGAGAACATAGTCTTTTTTTTCCCCTCAAAATCGGACTTTATAGTACGTAATTGCTAGTTTTTTCATCTCGCAATTCTGACTTTTTTCTGGCAATTCTGACTTTTTTTCTCACAATTACGAATTTATATCTCACAATTCTGAGAGAAAAAAAGTCGGAATTGCGAGTTTGTATCACGCAATTCTGAGAAAAAAAAGTCGGAATTGTGAGATAAAAAGTCGCAATAACCATTTTTTATTTTTTATTCAGTGGCGGAAACGGGCTTCCATATCCATGCATAGAAAATGATGTTAAAGTTTCTAGTGCAGTTGAAAATACCTGACTGTTCTTCAGTGTCTCAGATGTTTCTGCTCTTTCAGCATCAACTGCTAACGATGTTCATGGTATCTGGATGCTGAAGAGGAATCCGAGTACAGTAAGATCTTCCTATCTGCCTCTACAACCTTGATTACTGCGTCCAGTACCTTTATCTTTATTAACCTCTTCTGTTTCTGTTAGACTGTGGATGCCAAGAAACTAGAGAAAGCTGAAGCCAAACTGAAAGCCAAGCATGAGCGCAGAAATGAGAAAGACTCACAGAAATCCTCATCGTCTCCACTGTGAGTACTGCTGACTGCTGGAAGAGTTACGAGCTGTTTTTCTCCCACTTTTAAAATGGACATGAGATTTTCATGTGAGAATGATGTGATGCAATCAGCCGTCCACTAATGATTTTGATTTTGTCGAGATCAGTGAATGGCTGATGAGTAATATCTTTGTGTCTGATGTTGTTCTGTGTCTGGATGTGTTTTGAAGGGTTTTGGAGGAGGCCTCAGCCAGTCAGGCGAGCAGTAAGAAAGAAAACCGCGTCGACTCATCTGGGAAGAATCGAAGTTACGACATCCGCATTGAGAATTTTGACGTGTCTTTTGGGGAGAGGTGAGAAATCACTGACGATCCTCAGAAACACTGGCTACTAAACTAAACAACACAAAAATTATTCAATTATAAAATACCATTCTTGCGAAAATGTGTGGGATCTGTATGAGTTGTATTAGAAACATCCAAACAAAATTGACTTCAGAAATGTAAAAAAAAAAAAAAATGGCTACATGCCGATTTTTCAGACACTGTGAACCTGAAGTACACAACACTTGCTTTGTTTTGAGACACACAGCAGTAAAAGTAATGACAACTTAACAAGTGAATTAGTAACTGATTCAGTGAGTTCATTCATCATACCATTGAATCAGTGCTACCACCAGTGGTAGGGGCTGTATTTCTTGATTTACAGAAAGCGTTTGATACTGTAAATCATTTTACATAAATTACTCAATTTTAATTCTTCGACAAAATCTGTAAAATTAATTGAATCTTATCTCTCTTCCCGTTCTCAGATAGTAAAAATTGATCATTTTAAATCCAATTTACTATGCCTTTCAACTGGTGTTCCACAAGGGTCCATATTGGGGCCAATTCTCTTTAGCATCTATATTAATGATTTACCCATGGTGTGTCAACAATGTAATATCATAATGTATGCTGAGTCAATTTCACGCATGGTAAAAATGCAGAAGAGGTTGCAAATAAGTTGACAGATGTTCTGGTAAAAATCATATCCTGGTTCAATCAGTGTTATCTGAAATTAAACATGTCAAAAACAGCTTGTATGTTCATTTCTAAAGGGCATAGTGTTGATATAAAACAGGATATTTTCATTTCGGGAGAGAGATTACAGGTTGTTTCGGAATATAAATACTTAGTGATTCATTTGGACTCATGTCTTGGTTTTAAAACGCATATAAAATGGTATGCAAAAAGGTAAAATTTAATTAAGTTAATTTTCGGTTTATTAGAAACTCTTTAACATCTGGCAAAGGGACTACCAATGAAAACTAGCCTTTGGGCTAATTTGGGTACATTTACATTCACGAATGTTGATTAATGCACACTGTCCCTTTTTTTTGTGAAATAAATAAATAAATAAACTAACTAGGTTGCATAATAGATATTGAGACCATATCGGTTATTGACACTTTTTAAAATTAGCTTAATTAGCAGTACTAGTTTATCTCAACACATTCAATCAGACCGCAAACTCGCATTCAACTTAACGATATGACTTGTTAACACAGTGAATCAGGAAACAATTAGCCCAATTCTAATTTCTCATTCAGTGAGACGCGTTTGAAGTCACTAATTAATGCTTTCTATCATAGTAAAATTTTATATTGATGCAGTATAAATAAAGTTGCTACATTGCTTGCCAACCATAAGCATCATGCAGTTAGACTAATTAATGAACGAATATTGGTTTTACTGATTTTTTTTTTCTTTTACAAGTTGACACTTAAGACTGGTTTTGTGGTCCAGGGTCACATATGTGAATATCTTGTGACTTTATTGCTTTAATAACTGTATTACTAGAGAAGCATTTTAAAGCAGAAGTGTATTCAGAGCATGTTTTTGTTGGTTCACAGATGTCTGCTGCTGGGTGCAGAGCTGTGTCTGGCCAGCGGCAGGCGCTACGGTCTCATCGGGCGTAACGGGCTCGGTAAGACCACTCTGTTGAAGATGTTGGCGAGTCGCAGCTTGCGCGTCCCTTTGCACATCTCCATTCTGCACGTGGAGCAGGAGGTGGCTGGAGACGACACCGTGGCTCTACAGAGCGTTCTAGAGAGCGACACGGTTCGAGAGGAGCTGCTGAAGGAGGAGCGTACACTCAACGCACACATCGCCAATGGAACGTACGTCAGACACTAACCTATCATCTAGTGTCATGTGGTGGATGTTTTGCTGTTTTTAAGCTTCTTTAATCTTTAAAGGAGTAGTTCACACAGAAATGAAAATGTGCTGGAAATGCACTCACCCTCAAGCCATCCGAGATGTAGATGAGTTCGTCAGATTTGGAGAAATGCAGCATTGCATCAGTGTCTCAGCAATGGATGCTCTGCAGTGAATGGGTGCCGTCAGAATGAGAGTCCAAACAGCTGATAAAAACATCACAATAATCCACAGCACTCCAGTCCATCAGTTAACATCTGGAGAAGACAAAAGCTGAAACAAATCCATCATTAAGACGTTTTTAACTTTAAACCATCATTTCTGGCCAAAATATGTCCATAATCCATAATAGCGCTTCCTCCAGTGAAAAAGTCCATCTCCTGTTGTCTCTCACATCAAAATCCAGCCACATATCTGTTTAGAGCTGTTTAAACCGTGCTTGATCTGTGCAGATTTCTCTTTTTTTCACTTGAGAAAGCATTATGGACTTATATTTTAGCTCATATATTTAGATTTGATGGATTTGTTTCTTACAAACACACAGCTTTTGTCTTCTCCAGATGTTAACTGATGGACTGCAGTGGTGTGGATTATTGTGATGTTTTTATCAGCTGTTTGGACTCTCATTCTGACGGCACCCATTCACTGCAGAGCATCCATTGCTGAGACACTGATGCAATGACACATTTCTCAAGCAAATTATGTATTTTTTTTTTTAGGTATAAACAGATTGTTCACTTAGCAGGTGCACCGTTTTGGTATTTAAACGGCAAACAGGTGTTAATTTTAATCACCCGCTCATTTTCAACTGAAAGTAATATTGGAGCTTACAGAACAGAGCTCATGCAAAGAAACATAAATGAACAAGACTAAAAGAACACACATCTTGCAGTTGCATGTGATTAATGAATTTGTGCTTTCAGCTAAAACATTTGCAGTCGTCATTGCATCTACTCCTGTTTCTGTCTTTAATCTTTCAGTGCAGATGGATTAGAAAGTGTTCGTCTTTCGGAAATTTATGCTAAACTGGAAGAAATCGAAGCGGATAAAGCGCCAGCCAGGTGAGCAGAAAATGATTTGTGTGTATATTATCAAATAAATTAGAATTAATATGTATTTTTCAGAGCTTTCTTCAATAGTTTTATATTGTTATTTAGTGTTTGAAGTTAGGCAATGCAAGCGTAGTCAAACAGTCTAATGAAAAGATCATACAATATTTATTTATAATTTTTTAATATGCTTTCAGAGCATCTGTCATTCTTGCTGGTTTAGGCTTTTCAGCCAAAATGCAACAGCAGGCAACCAAGTGAGTATGTAGCCATGCAATAATGGTTACTTGCTTATAAGTCTCTTTCCCTCGTCTCTTCAGTACATAGAAACCATTATAAATTAATACTGGCCGGTTTATACATTTCTGCAGTGGTTATTAATGTGTGTTTATTGTAGGGAGTTTTCTGGAGGCTGGAGGATGAGGTTAGCTTTAGCAAGAGCCCTGTTTGCACGGTAAGTTTATTAATTAAGTTAATAAAAAAAATAGGCATTATAACGTTGATAAATAATAATTATGCCCTTTTATTGCAAATATTATTATACTATTATCATAATTTTTTTAAATAATAATTTAAATAAAAGGTAGCTTGCTTATCTAATCAGTACTGCTTAAGTAAAAAAAAAAAAATTGTGATTTTTTTTTTTTTTCAGGCCTGATCTGCTGTTACTTGATGGTGAGTAAAATGTACTCTCAGTATGGTGGTAATGTTGCTACTCAGCGTTAAATATTGATAGAGTTACATCACTGCTTTTGTATTCATCACTTCTATTCAGAGCCCACAAACATGTTGGACATAAGAGCCATTCTGTGGCTGGAAAACTATTTACAAGTAAGTGTTTTTCAGACAGACTCATAGTTCACTAGTTTGCTTTAATGGCTGAAGCTATGGCATTTACCCATTATATAGGAACAACATGTTCCAAGGGCCAAAGCCTCATTAATATGGTAAGACATTAGTTTCTCCAAAACGTTCTGAAGTAATTTTACTTTTCTCTCTCTAGACGTGGCAGTCCACCATCCTCGTGGTGTCTCACGATCGTAACTTCTTGAATGCCGTTGTAACGGACATCATACACCTGCACTCGCAGCGGCTGGAGAGTTACCGCGGCGATTACGAGAACTTCATCAAGACGAAAGAAGACCGACTGAAGAACCAGCAAAGAGAATATGAAGCTCAGTTACAGTACAGAGAACATATACAGGTCAACCAACCTCTCTGCTGAACTGATGGAGAGCATGCTCCTTTACTAGACAATATGAGACCCTGGAGCACAAAAGCAGTCTGAAGTCGCTGGGGTATATTTGTAGCAATAGCCAACAAAATTATAAATTTTTCTTTTGTGCCAAAAATCATTAGGATATTAAGTAAAGATCATGTTCCATGAAGATATTTTGTAAAGTTCCTACCATAAATATATCAAAACTTAATGTTTGATTAGTAATATGCATTGCTAAGAACTTCATTTGGACAACTTTAAACGTGATTTTCTCAATATTTAGATTAGATAAAATTTACACCCTCAGATTCCAGATTTTCAAATAGTTGTATCTCGACCAAATATTGTCATATCCTAACAAACCATACATCAATGAAAGCTGAATATTTATTCAGCTTTTAGATGGTGTATAAATCTCAATTTTAAAAAAAATGGACCCTTATGACTGGTTTTGTGCTCCAGGGTCACATATATCTGAAGAAGGAGAAAGCAGAAGTTACATTTGTGTGAAATTGCAATTGTGTCACCCAAGTCCTTAAAATTATTTTATCATTTGTTATTGTCCTCCTGTCGTTATAAAGCTATATGAATTAAGTTCTATACAAATTGAGGCTGCAACTAGGGCTGTGCTATTAATTGAAAATAAACCAAAATCACAATTTGGCTTGGTGCTCTTCTGAAATCGCAAAAGCTGTGATTTAATTAAATAGATATATGTGCTGCATGTCTCAGAGGGACGCTTTAGAGGCTTCCTGCGGCCTTCTGTCAAAATTAAAGGTTGATGGTTTACAGTAAATGTAAGAGAAAATTATTTTACTATTTTTTTTATTTTAACTTATTTAACTTTTGTTTTTATTTAGTCATTGTTTTAATTTTTTAGTAGTAGTAGTAACAATAATAATAATTATTATTAAGAATTATATAACGATATTGATATAAAATCATAAAAACTAAAATGACCGTGAAGCATATTTTATTGGATTGTACTATTTTTAATGTAAATAGACATTATTTAACTGATTTATTTAAAAATGTATCACCTGAATATGTTTTAGAATTTTTTTGTCTAGTGTAGATCTAAAATGTCTTTTATAACTTTTTGTTAATTGTAGATCTTGTGTAAATTATTCTGAGATCGCCATGGAAATAGCCTTGATGCAGGCATGGCATTAAAAAGTGAATAAAATATAAAATCACAAAATTGACCAGATGTCGCAGCCCTACAAACGCAAAGCAAAGAAAACCTGATTTATTAATTTTTTTTATCACAGTTATAATTCATTATTGGAAAATTGCAGTTCAATTTTTTCCTCCTAATCTTGCAGCCCTAGCTACAACATAACATTCGTAAGAAAGAAAATTTAAGGGGTCTAAATAATTTCTGAATGCATTGTACATGTCGGCTTGTATCAATAATATTGTGAGCATTAGTTGATCAATGTGGGTTTTTATTGGCTGATGCTGATTAACCAGAATTGAAAAAGCACTTACTTACACAATATTTTCTCAATATACAAAAAATTTAAATCGCATTCATATTATTCATTGAAAAGGTTCTAGTTTAATCTTCTGTTAATGTTGTGTCTCTCTCAGGTGTTCATTGACCGGTTCAGATATAACGCCAACAGAGCAGCTCAAGTGCAGAGCAAACTCAAGCTGCTGGAGAAACTGTAAGTGTGACGTCACTAACACACGTTCATTATTGATTAAACACACACTCGCTGCAGGCTCACCATCTCCCTCTGTGTGTGCGTGCGTGCGTGTGTGTGTGTGTGTGAGAGTGTGTCTGCGTGTGTGTGTCTGTGTCTGTGTGTGTGTGTGTGTCTGTGTGTGTGAGAGAGTGTGTGTCTGTGTGTGTGTGTCTGTGTCTGTGTGTGTGTGTGTGTCTGTGTGTGTGAGAGAGTGTGTGTCTGTGTGTGTGTGTCTGTGTCTGTGTGTGTGTGTGTGTCTGTGTGTGTGAGAGAGTGTGTGTCTGTGTGTGTGTGTCTGTGTCTGTGTGTGTGTGTGTGTCTGTGTGTGTGAGAGAGTGTGTGTCTGTGTGTGTGTGTCTGTGTCTGTGTGTGTGTGTGTGTCTGTGTGTGTGAGAGAGTGTGTGTCTGTGTGTGTGTGTCTGTGTCTGTGTGTGTGTGTGTGTCTGTGTGTGTGAGAGAGTGTGTGTCTGTGTGTGTGTGTCTGTGTCTGTGTGTGTGTGTGTGTCTGTGTGTGTCTCTCACAGGCCTGAACTCAAGCCCATGGTCAAGGAGTCTGAAGCCGTCTTACGGTCAGTTTTGCTCCGTCTTCTTCCTGTGTATTTGTGTAACGGATCGACTCCTCTCAGAAGTGAAGGTGAGTTTTGTTCTGATCTCCCAACAGTTTTCCGGATAACTTTGAGAAGCTGTCTCCTCCGATCCTGCAACTGGATGAGGTGGAGTTCGGCTACAATCCTGACCAGCGGCTCTTCAACGGCCTCAGCGTCTCGGCTGACCTGGAGTCTCGCATTTGCATCGTATGTATTTGCAATAGGAGATCTGACATTTGCTGGCATAGTAATCATAAAAATCCTTTTTTTTTTCTTTTTTTTTAAGTGATACAGTTTGAAACTTTAGACAAAATATATATTTAAAAAATCGATGTAAAAAAAAACAAAAACAGGTTTGTTGAGTATCATATTTGATACGTCAGGTTTTTATGACTCATATAGTCTGATATAATGAGAATATGGAGGAAAAACACCTTAATTTTATTCAAACTCAAACGGAGCAAAAATGAGTTTGCTGCAGATGCTGATATGTCTATGATGAGCTTCAGTCCAGTAAGTGTTCATCTGGAGATATTATTCTGACGTTTACTTGATAAAAATCAGTCAAGATTTGACAGCAGAAAGACACGAGAAGCAGCATCAAAAACTCTAAACTATCAATCAGACAACAGAAGACATGCAGTAGATTGAGTGTGATGGGATTCTCAACAACTTGAGTGTGCTAGTGTATGAAAGATGGTTCAAGTGTACTACAAGTGGCGACTAAATAAATTTTTTAAATACAGAGATAGTATGTTAAAAGCGCATTTTAGTTCATATTCATAGTGTCCAAGAATAGCACAGTTGAGTACACTTAGATGATCTTAAGTTTATCTTAAGAAGTGCTAAAGAATCATTTTTAGTATATCAAGTACAAAATTAGTGCGCGGAAATAGAGCACTTTAGGTACATTTATGGAAGTGTACTTTTTTTAACCTGGGTCAGCTGGCCATTTGTACAATTACACTAAAAGAGCTTTTACTGGATAAAAGAAAAAACTCTAAACTATCAATCAGAAGGTGTGCAGGATATTGTGTGTGAAACAGGTTTAACAGCAACGTTTTGGTCATGTTGAACATTTAGAGGCGTTAGAAATCCATGTATCATATGATACAGTAGGGTTTCTTGTTTTGTTCTGGTTCTGGTTTTGTTTTTTGTGTTTTGTTTGGGTTTGGTTTTTGTTTTGTTTTGTTTTTTTGTTTTTGTTGGTTTTGGTTTGGTTTGTTTTGTTTCCGGTTCTGGTTCTGTTTTTTTTGTTTGTTTGTTTTTTTGTTCGGTTTGGTTTGTTTTTTTGTTTTTCGTTTTTGTTGGTCTTGGTTTGGTTTGTTTTTGTTTGTTTGTTTTTTTGTTCGGTTTGGTTTGTTTTTTTGTTTTTCGTTTTTGTTGGTTTTGGTTTGGTTTGTTTTGTTTCTGGTTCTGTTTTTGTTTTTTTGTGGGGGTTTTTTTTTGGTTTGGTTTGGTTTGGTTTTTCTTTAGAGAAATAGCTCACCCAAAAATTAAAGGTCTGTTGTTGTTCCAAACCTGTATGAGTTTCCTTCTGCTGTTGAATGTAAAAGTATGTGAAGAGTTCATTTGCAAAAACAGATAACTCCATTTTTAACCATTTTCAAAAATGATGTTTTTTCATTGTGCATTGGAGAGATTTAGTCTCCAATAGTTTTTTTTTTTTATGTTTTAGTTTATTCCTGCCTCTAACCCTCATTTACACCCACATTTTTTTCACCTGACCCTCATTTTCACAGACTGACCTTCTGAATGACACTCATTTGCACCTTCTAAACCTCATTTAAACATTCTGACCCTCGTTTTGACAGATGCTAACAAATCTGAGTTTCATTTATAGCCCCAACTTCTACATTCTGGACGAGCCGACGAATCATCTGGACATGGAGACGATTGAAGCCTTGGCAAATGCCCTCAACAAGTTCAGAGTAAGAGCAGAATCGGCTCATGTCGCCCTCAGCAAATCTAATGTGTTTACAGCGTTAGTCAAAGCTTCATCATATACAGTCAAACCAACATTTACTCAGACACTTCAACATTTCACAGTTTACTCGCTATAGTTTAGAAAATGGTAATAAAATATGACAAGAACTCCGAGTTAAACTGTCAGAACAAATTCATCTTGATAATGTCAGATAACTTTGATAGAAAGGTATGTAATGGATTCAGCTGTTAAATTTAAGCACACAATTAAATAATACCAATTTAGCTCAACCAATTACCAAGCAATGCTTAATTTAGTTCAGTTTGTGGTGGGATAAAGTTGCATTAGCAATTAAAGAAAAAACACTTAGGCAAAACATGGTCAGGTCAAAGTGTCTGAATAATTTTTGGTCCCAAATTATCATACATTTTTCTGGTAGTCCACTATATGAAGAATATAACGTTTGCTTTATTTTGCTATCCTCACTTGCATAAATGAACTGTAGTGTCCTGCAAAATATCAAAAATTATATCTGGTGTCTGAGTAATTTTTGGTTTGACTGTAATCGGTTTCTCTGTCAGGGCGGCGTGGTTCTGGTGTCCCACGACGAGCGCCTGATCCGGATGGTTTGTAAGGAGCTCTGGGTCTGCGAGGCCGGGCGAGTTCAGCGCGTGGACGGAGGCTTTGACGAGTACAAGGATATCTTGCAGGAACAGTTTCGTCGGGAGGGATACTTGTGATGCAGACGTCTGTTTACCCGATCTGATGAGAGCGGCTGTAGTCCCGGCGGCCAGCACGCTCAAAACCCATTCAACTTCAATCTCCCTAAATCATGCGGCTCAGACGCGTCCTGCGGGTTCAAGGCCGGACTTTTGTGTAGATGACATATTAAAGATGATGTAAGAAAGGCGAAGCAGACATATGCACTAACAGATGTTGTACTCCACACCGCTTTTAAAAGATCACCCAACATACGGTAATAAAAAGAAAAACTGTCCCCAACGTTTTTAATTTGGTGTCTGGTCACTATTATTAAAGTTTTTATCAGTGCTTAGAATGTTAATCTGCATTAATGCATAAATTTTTCCAGTTTAACGGTCTCTTTTTTTTTTTTTTCTGGACAAGAATTGCATTTATTTAGACGCGGAATGTCTTTACGACCACATCAAACGAGACACTTTTAGACACGCACTCCACTTCACCTCAGCGCCAGGTGCGAGTCAAATGGTACAGGTGTTGAGGAGCTTCAGCAGAACAACAGTGAACTGAGATGTTGTCAGGCCATGCGTCAGTAAAAACGAATTTTCCTGTCATGTCATACTGGGCTCGTAGTGCATGCTCTTCAATTGCACGCACAAATACGGTGGTGCACGCTGTAGCCTATCATTTCATATTAAAGCGCGAATGAAGCGACGAGCATGCGTGTCAGATCCGCGTCACGTTTAGCAGTGGCAGCTCTTAAAGTAATAGCAGCCAAATAACCTAATAACCAGCTGCTGTGATGTCTGTTCATCAAAGAGCAAAAGAGGAAATCAATAACTGTTGTAGCTTTAAAGATTCATCTATATTTAATTTAGAATTAAGTGTGATAACTTTATTACATTTCTGTGTATTTCATAATTGCTGAAGGGCACAGGTAAATATGACATTTATTATAATGGGTTTATCTGAAGATTGTTTTAAGTTCACTTAAATTAGAAGTTTTTTTTTTTTTTTTTTTTAAGTATAGTAAATGTTAAAATTGATAGCTCTCAATTATACTGTAATGTTAAACTGCTATAGTCAGTGGTTAAATATTAGGAACAGTTTCCTAGAGACATCAGTAGTATTGGTATCAGTGATCCTCGCCTTCAGACATAAAAAAGATGCCATTAAACAAATATTACAAATATACTGTCTTTGTTTTTTCTACATTAATTTGGAGATTGAATATACAATTATTGCGATATAAAAGTATATTTAAAAACTTTAATGTTAGGTGGGATTAATTGCAATTACCATTAAATTCAGAAAAAAAATATTTTAATATTTAAGATTAATATATATATATATATTTTTTTTAATCGACAAAACTAGTTTTTATACATAATGGTAATGCGAGTGTGGAAGGTTTATTGGATGAGTAGATAATTGGATGTCATACGCAATAATGCATTTTTATCTTCTCACTGATTGGGAAAATGCTCTATATATTTATAAATCTAAGCCTGTCACACTTTCTTGAATTCATACAAGTTGCACAACACCAATTGAGAGATTTCATTTTAAAACGTTTTAAAAATGGATTTATGAAAAACGGTCATGAAAGACATTAACTGAATGAGTAAAGTTAATATGAGGGGCTAAAAAAAAAAAAACAGACGGGTAAAAGAGTTTGATGAGTTTGAACAAATATTTAACGAGAACCTCCAAACATCTTCCCGTAAAACCTTGAAGTCCCTGCTGAAAAAAAAAAAAAGCCCGCTAAAACCAGCCTATGCTGGTCTTAGCTGGTTTACGCTTGTCAAGCTGGAGTTGAGCTAATTTTAGCCTCACCAGCTCAAAAAGTGGTCAAAACCCGTCTAAAACCAGTCAACCAGTGTTTTTTTTTTTTTTTCTTCAGCAGGGATGGAAGCATTTCCTCTTATCTCACTCGTAATGACAAAAATCCCTTCAAACTACACAATCATACGATTGAAGAACAATAGCAAGCTTTGCAAGACCAAGGAAAATTGTCTATGAAAATATATGACAAAATGGACTAATTAAATGACATAAAAACATCAGGAAAGTAAAGCAACACATGCATGGTTGTTCTCTTGAACTGAGTCGTCTGGGTTTAACTGGTCAGGTTTTGACCCAGAGAACTGGTTTGGATTGTTTCATCTTCAGAGCTCATCTCAGAGTTGTTGTCATAGCGAAAGCTCTGTAAGCACAAACCTGCTGGAGAGGCGACTTACTGCACATAATCAGGATTATACCATGGCTTTATAAGCAGAGCTGATGCTGGAAGTCTGTCCCAGTCACTGCACCACTCTAATGATTAGTTTATTATAAAACAATTTTGTAGTATAAAATACAGTAGCTAATTAAAGCCGATTTTACAACTTTGTATTTTTGCCTCAAAAATGTATTTTTATCTGAAATTCAGTACAGTAAGTCCAGACCATGCATTAAAATTAAAATTCTGTGTCAATTAAAAAAATAAAATAAAAACAGGACTCAAATGTCGCAGATGGACTTACAGGTTTTTGCATATGAACTCTTCATATTTTCAGCATATTTGTTTTCAGGATATTTATGTTTCATCCAGGCACATTTGACTGGATGTGAATCATTCTTTCTTGTAATGTAGACTCTAATCTATTCAAATTAGTTGTCAGAAAAACACTCTTGTTCTATATCTAGTTGTATGAAAATAATCCATATTAATTGTTTAAAAGTTTCCGAATGTTACAAATGTTTTCAACAAATTCTTATGACGTTACACACATTATCTCACATATCTATTGTCAGATTTGAATATGTCTTATATAAATTAATACTACATGAATGGGCTAAAAGATAAACCGTACGTTAGGATGACTTTAACTGTGTCATCATAATCATGGCGTAGCACCAAAACGGACACTCATTTATATATACAGTATAATATTGACCCAGTTGCATTTCCCGAGCAGCAGGACGCTCTGTTCCTCCAGATGTTTGCAGTAGTTTGAGGTCAGTATATGTCAGGCAGGTGTGAGTAGTTTCTGTCCCAGTAGCCGCCGGTGTAGAGCCAGTCTGGGGCTCCGGTGTAAGGGTTTGGCCCCTGATGAAACCACCTGCGTGTGAACAAGAGTTTGACGTTAAAGTTAAGATCAATGCAATCATGTCTGTCCATCCTCAAAATAAATTTACATGCAGACAAACCAATACATGCTGATAAAGACCCAAATCATCATCACAGTGTTTAATGAATAAATGCATTGTGTATCCAAATTCTGGCTTTACTCACACCACTGCACTTTATTTTACAGTATGTGTACCTACAGTGTACTTACCTAAGAAAGTAAAGGGTAATATAAAGTGACTTCATGTGTAAGTACCCATTTATTACCAAGTGATTGTAATCACTGTGATAAGTACACAGTATGTACATGTGGAACAGGACTGTAAAAATAAGTGCTATATTGTAACGTGTGTGATGTTATTGTAACAAATGCTGTGGAATCTCCACACGTCTAAAACTAATGAAATGTCATTGCTTTACCTACATAACTGAATCTAAAACGAAGTCTTCTTATACAGTCATTTCAGAACAAAGAAGACCCCTGAGTTATGTACTTTTACCCATCAGTATATGTTTTGTTGTTGGGTGTTTATTAACTCTTGTCAAACCTTATTTTCCATTCCTCGTCTGATTTGGAGCGATGTTTCCGAGCCGTTCGTTGTTTTTCCTCCAGTCTGTTCTTCTCTGCACTGGCTGCATCTGGAAACAGCAGCAATGCAAAGTCATCCACAATTAGTAAACATGTGTTCAGATTGTATATTACAGCTAAGCAATCTTCTATTATGCCATTATATATAAACGGGAACATAAACTGATGATCTGTTGCACATTCCAAATTGTCCAAATTGTCATTTTATCAGTTTCAGCTCTTTTTAAATGATTTAATTACTGTTTTTTTCCCCTCTCAGTTTCAGTATTAATTTCCAGTTAGTACTTTTGAATTTTCATTTAGTTTACTTTTTTTTTTTAATCTAATATTTATACTTTATTTCAGCCTTATTTAAATTAACACACACACACACACACACACACAAACACAAACACAAACACAAACACAAACACACACACACACACAAACA